AGATTTCACTCAGCAGCCACCTGCCTCCCTGACCACTCTTGGGGTGGATTACATGTCCCCCTCCTTTGCTCCTTTGGAGATGATTGTGTGGTTTTTCCCAAACTTACCACTGGAGAAGCTTTTCCCCACTATATCTCCAACACTTAACACTGTGCCTTTCCTCTAATACATGTTCAAGAATTATTATTTTTTCAGTAAATGATGGAATTAATGAGTGAGTAAATTAAGTGATTTCCTCTTATTACCACATGGCTCTGTATTTTGGGGCAGTGGGCACCTGTAGCCCCAAAAAATCTGTGCCTAGCACTGTTTTATTTTTAAAGTCAGAGTAATGAAAGTGTAATTTAGAAACAATAAAGTCACCAATTTTAAGTGTGCAATTCAGTGAGTTTTGAGAAGTGGATACAGCTGTGCAATCACCACCACTGTTGTAATATATGACATTCCTATCAGCCAATAAGTTACCTTGTTTTCCTTATCAGTTTCCTTTCCCCATGCCCTGGCCCCTTGGCAACTACTGATCTTCTTTCTATCATTATAGCTTTATTGTTTCTAGAATTTCATATACGTGGAATCATTTAACTTAGAATAATGCTTTTGAGATCCAACAGTGTTATTGTATTTGTCAGTAGTTTGTTCATTTTTATTACTATGTAAATTACATTATATTGATAGACGACAGTTTATCCATTCATCAGATGAACATTTGGGATTTTTGCAGCTGTGTACTCTTGTGCATAAAGCTTCAACTTTCAATACAAGAACATTCAAATGAACATTCAAATACAAGTCCTTATTTGGACATACACTTTCATTTCTCATGGAGAAATACCTAGGAGTGGAATGGCCAGGTCATATGATAAATATTTGTTTAACTTAGGTATTGCCAACCAATTTTCCAAAGGCTACCACTTTACATTCTCACAAGCAGTTTATGATAGTCCTGTATGCTCCATATCCTCACCAATACTTGAAACTACTCTCAATCTTTTTAATTTTAGCCATTCTAATAGATGTATAATGGTATCTCATTATGGCTTTAATTTGCATTTTTTCATGATAACTAATAATGTTGAGCATCTTTTTCATGTGCTTATTGTCCATTTTTATACCTTTTCTAAAGTGTCCAAATCTTTTGCCCATGCTTTTCATTGCATTTTCCTCTTAATATTAAGTTGCAAGATGATTGTCTACATAGAAAACTCATAGGAATCTACCCCCAAAACACCCTTGAACTGATAAGTGAGTTTAAACAGCTCACAGGATACAAGGGTCACAGAGAACTACATTTTTTATACTTTAATGAACTATTGGCTTACTAGACAAAGACTTTAAAACAACTGTCTTTTATATACTCAAAGAGCTAAAAGAAAGCACAAAAAACTAAAGGAAATTAGGAAAACTACATAGGAACGAAATGACAATATAAACAAAGAGAAATTATAAAAAGAAACCTAACAGAACATTCTGGGCTGAAATATATAATAACTGAATTTTCACTAGAGGGGTTCAGCAGGAAACTCAAATAGGCAGAAGAAAAAAATCACTGAACTCTAAGACTCTACGTTTGAAATGATCAAGTCTGAGGAGAAAAAAAAATAGGAAGAAAAATGATCAGAGCCTAAAAGACTTGTGGGACATAAACAAGTAGACCAATATAAGCATTATGGGAGTCCCAGAAGGAGAAGAAAGGAGCAGAGAGAATATTTGAAGAAATAATGACTGAAAACTTATCAAATTTGATGAAATATATGGATATGAATTCAAGAAGCTTAGCAAACTTCAAGTACAATAAACCCAAAGAAACTCACACTAAGACACATTATAATCAAACTGTTGAAAGATTAAAAAAAAAAAATCAGGAGAAAAGTGACTCATCACATTCAGGAGAGCTCCAATAAGACCATCAGTAGATTTCTCAGCAGAAACTTTGCTGGACAGAAGGCAATGGGATTATATATTTTTTGCCCGGCCAGTGTGCCTCACTGGTTGAGCATTGACCCATGCACAAAGAGGTTACTGGTTCGATTCTGTCTTGGGTCTTGAAACATGCCTGGGTTTTGGGGTCGATCCCCAGTAGGGGGTGTGCGGGAGGCAGCTGATCAATGACTCTCATTATTGATGTTTCTATCTCTCCGTCTCCCTTCCTCTCTTTGAAATCAATAAGAACATATTTTAAAAAGAAAAATTCACAAATATGTGGAAATTAAACAACATAATCTCAAACAACCAATGGGTGAAAGAAAAAAAATCACAGGAGGATTTAGAAATATTAAGACAAACAAAAACCTACCAAGCTTAACACAATATACCAAAATTTATCAGATGCAATGAAAGAATTTTTTAAAATATGTTTTAGTGATTTCAGAGAAGAAGGGGGAGGGAGAAAGAAATAGAAACATCAATGATGAGAGTCATTGATCGGCTGCCTCCTGCATGGCCTCTACTGGGGATCAAGCCCACAACCCAGGCATGTGTCCTGATGGGGACTCGAACCCTGACCTCCTGGTTCATGGGTTGACCACTGAAGCATGCCAGCTGAGCAGAAAGCAGTATTAAGAAGGACAATTATAGCTGTAAATGCTTACATTAAAAAGGAGAAAGGTCTCAAATCAACAACCTAACTCTACATCATAAGGAACTATGAAAAAGAACAAACTAAACCCAAAACTCCAAAGATTGGAGCAGAGATAAACAGAGAATAGAAAAACAATAGAATGTCAACAAAACCAAGAGTTGGTTCTTATTAAAGATCAACAAAGTTGACAGGTCTTTAACTAGATTGACTAATAAAAAAAAAAGAGAGGGAGAAGATTCTAAAACTAAAATCAGAAATGAAAGAGGAAGCACTACCAATTTTACAGAAATAAAAAGCATATAAGTATTTTATAAGAGAGCACTATGAACAATTGTATGCCAACAAATTGGATAACCCAGGTGAAATGGACAAGTTCCTAGAAACACAAAACCTTGTAAAACTGAATCATGAAGAAATGGAAAATCTGAATAGAGGTATAACTAGTAAGGGGATTGAATCAGTAACCAAAAATCTCCCAACAAAAGAAAGCCCAGAACCAGATGGCTTCACAGATGAATTCTACCAAATATATAAAGAACAATTAACATCAGTCTTTCTCAAACTCTTCTAAAGGCTGAAGGGGAGGGAGCACTTCCAAACTTACTCTGTGAAACCAGCATTATCTTGATATCAAAACCAAAGACTCAAGGAAAACTATAGACCATCAGGACACATGCCTGGGTTGTGGGCTTGATCCCCAGTAGGGGCCATGCAGGAGGCAGCCGATCAATATCCTTTGTGAATATAGATGCAAAAAACCCTCCACAAAAATACTAGAAAACTGAATTCAACAGCATATTGAAAGGATTATATATTATGACCAAGTGGGATTCCTGAAATTATATATATATCATATAAGTCATAGATAGACACTTTGGTTAACAGTTTCAGCTTAGCCCAGCCTTTGAGTCATCCCAGCCCTCTTGCCAGACAATATGGTGAAGAAGCTTCCAGATGGTTCCAGCTTCTGATCATTCAAGTTACTTCCAGTCATTCATGTCTTTCCAGCTGAGACATCATCTGACATCATGAAGCAGACATCTCACTGTACACTATCCAAATTCCTAACCCACAGAGACACCAAGCATAATAATAGTTGTTTGCACTACTAAGTTTGGGGTAGTTTATTACATGGCAATCAATAACTGGTGCACATCCCTTCGTGAATCGCAGTCAGATACTAGCAGAAATACAGGGCAAATGGTTCAAGGACCAATTTAGATAGCTAGTCTAAGTGCCCATGTTGAATGAGGAGCGTGTTTCCCAGTGAAGTCTTCACAAAGGGATGTCTAACACTGCTGAGACATCCCAACTTTCTGAATATAAATCCAGGAGCTGTTGAACGGAGTCTCTTCACCAGTTGCTGTAGGCAACTCACTTCACTGATTGTGGGAAGTGAGGCTATTGAAGGCAGCCCTCTAGTTGCCCAACTAGCCCATCCACTGTGCACTGTTCCTTTTGCCCTCACCCTTTCCCTCCTTCTTTCCTTCCATCTTTCCCCTTTCACTGAGTGCCCATTATGTACAACACATTATTTTAGGTTCTGGAGTACAGAGATGAGTGTGTATTAACCATGTCATTTATTGTCTGTATGCTGATGCTTTGCCATCTCAGGCCTCACTGACTCTGGAGGGACTGCCCCTCCCAAGGCTAGCCAGTTCCTACCTGCTAGTGCACTTCCACAAATTTAAATACAGTATGCCTACAGAGAAGCACAGACATGGTGTGTGCTGGCTGAGCTCTCACTGCGTGAGCACACCTGCAGAAGTGCACAAATCCAACCCCCAACCATCTCCTTTACAGAGCTCTCAAACTCTGGGCCACCATGTACCTGCCCTAATCACCCCGAGGCCAGGTACCCGAGAACTACGCATGGATACCCTTATGCCTCAGTGCCCAAATTATTCAGATTTAGCTGATCTTAAGCCTACTTTCTCTCCCTCACTGTTCCTTCCTGAGGAAACCACCGAAGGCTCTTGCCCATGGTTTCCCCTCTCCCAGTGCCTTGTCCTGTGGCTCCTATAGCATGATATGCCCCTTAAGAACTGTGAATAACTAGCTTTCAGTGACAGTTGTCTCCTTACTATACCTCAAATTTTCTATTAATATACTGTATTTTAAAACAGAATGATACTCAGTTCCTGCCCTAAGGAAACTTATAATTTAATGAGGAGGGGAGCCTTAAAATAGTAGAACTGGTAACATTCTGTTTCATGATCTGAGAGCGCTTCTGCAAGTGTGCTCACGCAGTGAGAGCTCAGCCAGCACACACCATGTCTGTGCTTCTCTGCAGGCATACTGTATTTAAATTTAAAAAATAATGGTAGTTTGAAATCCATCCATTAAGGCAACCTTATATGCTGAACAAATAAGTATCCTCCACTTCTCACAGCAGAATTGCTGGCTGATGACTAAGTTCGCGATGATGAAACCTACGTCGGAGCTGCTTCATAACGTCATCTTTAGCCTGACACTATTTACCCAGAAATCAGACTGTCTAGGTAACCTGTGAAAACACTTATTTTTCCTTTTGAATTATTTATAGGCATTTTCTAGTCAGTTTCCCTTCTTCCTTTTAGGCATTTGGAAAGAAGAGGCAAAAGGTAAAGGGGTAGAAACATACCTCTTGAGCCAACTGTTAGTTTTTCTTATAATTTGTTGGTTTTTCTTTCTAAATTTGAAAGTTCAGCTTCTGACCAACTAAATAAAGATCATTTCAGTACCATAATCCTTCCTCCAATCATTGTCCAGAGTAGAGGGGGAGAAAATTAATGTATAAAAATTTTGTCCTTGACATGAAATCCTCCCAGCCCTCAGTGCTAGGGAGAAGCACACGCAAACCCCAGAGGGAGACTTAACTTAGCTGGGCACTGCTGTGAGAATGTACACAGGCAAGGCTTCACCTCCCCGGCCCGCAAGGCTACCCACACTGTGCACTAGGCAGGTGACTTGCTCAAATGTGCACCCACACTCCTGGCAGATGGGACTGGACTCATGTCTGCTCCAAGTCCAGGTTCTTCCCAGCATTCTTTAGGAGACGCAATTAATCATAGATGAGCAAGCACGTAGAGAGGGGGGATTCTGTAGTAACCACGACATCTGATCTGGAGGACCCCAGGAAAATTTGGGTTTCTGTACCCCAGTGATTTGGTACTATTAAGTCTCTCTTACAAAAGGGTTTGGATGTCAGGGGGTCTACACTCCCCACATTCAGGAGCAATGACATCTGAAAACCCTATTCCTTCCCCCCTAGTCCCCAACAGAAAAGCTGTTAAACCTAAGATGCTGTGAAACTCTGTCCAGATGTCCTTGTGTCTTGCCTACTTTCAGTCCATGTAGGTAAGCCAATAGGTACACTCTTTTTTAAAAAAATATGTTTCTGTTGATTTTAGAGGGACGAAGGGAGAGGGAAAGAGATAGAAACACCAATGATGAGAGAGAGTCGTTGATCAGCTGCCTCCTGCAAGCCCCACACTGGGGACCGAGCCTGAGACCCAGGTGTGTTTCATAGGTTGACACTCAACCACTGCGCCATGCCAGCCAGGCCAATAGGTACATCTTAAATCCATGCTGTGTGGTTGAATTTCCCCAAATTATTCTGAATTAGGGACCTTGATGAATTTTTCCTTAATGACTATGGAGAGGTTTCTGTGGGTTAAAAGAGTGGAACTCTGAGCACAGCTTTTTGGAGGGAAGTCAGGGCTTCTGGTTGCAAGACCAGCTATGAGGGGTGGGGGATAGCATGGTGGGCAGGTCTGGGTCTGGTTTCCTGGCTCTCCAGCATGTGCCTCACCTATAGCCGACAGGTTAGCCCATTTGCTTTTCACATTACCTTGAACTTATTTAAGTGCCCTTTGGATGAGGAAAGATCCGATGGAACTTGGAGAGATGGGACTGGAGAAGGCACAAGGGCAGGGGGAGACCCAGTGGCTTGTTAGAAGCCCTGCTCTCTGGTCTGGGGCTCTGGTGAGGGTGGGGGCTGGGAGCTGGCAGCCCTGGACCCAGAAGCAAAGGCATGAGGGACAGAGATGTAAGGTCAGGCCTCTATGCTGCCACTTGCCCACTGCAGCCTCAGCTGCTCACTGGGAAACAGCTCAACACTAAAACTTGGGCTTCCTACTTTGCAAAGGGCTGTGTAGAGGCTCTGATGGGCCAGAGAATGACTTTTGCAAAGACTGTCAAAGTACAGATAAGTTAGTGTGAGCAAAGAAGATGGTGGCGATCATTCCCACCTCCAGCCTGCTGTGAGGGACAAAAAGCACCAGCGAAACATACACAAAAACGTTGGCAAAGACGGGCCAGGAGCCGTGCCTCCCCAGCCCACCGTAGCCGCGCCCAACTTGTTCTGGCCCAGAGCTCTGGTGCCCTAGTGTCACTAAAATTCTTCTGTTTGGAACAGAATAAGGAAAACTCCTCAAGGGGAAAGTTTTGGAGCCCTGACTTTGTCAACTTTATTCAAATTTTCATCCTTTCATTATTCTATACCATGTCATGGTCCTGTAAATATACAAGGTGTTTTCACAAAGACTATTATCAGTCACCTTATATTACCCCCATTTACAAGTGAGGAAGCTGAGTCTGAGATCAGGAAAATGCTACTCGCACTTGGGGTTTCTGACTTCAAGTTCTGTGTTCCTGGAAACCAATGTTCTGCGAGCTACAGAAGGAAAGAAAAAGATAGGAGGGATGGGAGGGAGGGAAAGGGGAGGGGAGAGGAGAGGAGAGGGCGAGGAAGGAGGGGAGGGAAAAGAAACAAAAGTCGTTTAAGAGGAGCAGAGAGCGCCGTCTACACAACACGCGGGAAGAGGAAGGCTCTAGTCTGTGGCCGGGCAGGTCCCCTGCACGGTGCCCGCCCGGTGTCCACTGTGCGCCCGAGTCGTCACACGCCGACTGGCCGCTCCGCCTCTGCTCTCCTAGCCTGCGGGAACCCCCATCCCGTCCCGCTGCGGGACCCGGCACCGCAGCCCTTACGTCTCGGCCCTTCTTGGTTCGGCCGCCTGCGGACTCTCCGCGCCAAGCCTCCCCATGAGCCTCCCTGGCCCCCGGGGCACGAGCGGGCGTCAGGGGTGCCTTGGCGGGCGCCAGCCCGGGTCCTCTCGCTCAGCCCTCTGAGCCCCGTGCTTTGGGGGCGCTTGGGCTCTATGCAGAGCTCCCGAGGACTGCGGAGGATTGAAGGTCGCAGTGACCAGAGAAGTGTCAGAGTCACATCTGATCCCGCATCCCTCAGCGCCGCGGCGCCAGGATGCGCTCGCATGAAGTTGCCCAAGTGAATCGATGCATGGGCGCAAATGAATGAAGAAATGAAGGAATGAATGGAACGAGCGGAAGGGCCCGGATTCTCCCCTGCAGGCAGCTCGCACTAGCCGGGCCGCGCCCGTGCCCGCACGGTGGCTGCTAACGCCCGGGTCCTGGAAAACCCAGGTTTGAGAGCTGTGTCCGGATGAAACGCAAGAAAGTAAACAATTAGAAACAACAATCACGAGACCTGTTCTTTCTGCCCCCGCCCCCGCGGTTTTCTCCGTTTTTGCCTTTGGTCTACGGAATCCAACTTGACCTTCCTGCGCTGCCCGGGGCCCGCGTATCTTCCTAACCTGGTGCCTGGGCGCGGCCCCACCGCGCGCGCGGTCTGCTCAGGAACCGCGCTGGGCGGGCGCCAGGGGCTGGAGCCAGAGTGGGGACGCCCAGGGCCGGGAAGGGGGCGCTGTCCCCTAGAGGCCTGGGACCCTGTGGAGCATCGCCTCCGCCCTGGAGGGCGGTGGGGTTAGAGGGTCGGAGTCAGATTCTTCCTGGGGTCCTCCACTGCAGCGCCAGTGCCCCGCTGGCGTCCCCTCTCTACCCCTCCCCTCCCCATCCCCCAGCGAGCTGCCCTTCCCCGGACGGGCGCGGCCCTAGCTCCCCGCGGTTCCCAGAGCATTCCTGCCTGGGATTTTTCTAAAGGAATTTCTGGCCGAGGGGTCCAACACGGGAAATGGCCTAGGCTTCCCGGGGCAGGGAAGCCGGCGTAGACCGTAGACACATTCTTTCCGCAAACCTGCCCCACCCCTCCCTGCTCGCCCCCGGCGCCAGCCAGCCCCACCGCTCCACCTCGAGTTCCTGGATGCTCTCCGGCCGCAGAGCACCCACCTAGCCAGCCGCGCCTGGCGTCCTTGGCTGGTCAGCCCCGGCCCAGAAGAGCAGCGGGTGGAGCGCGTGGGCCTAAGGTGCTGCTTCTGGATGCTGGCCGGAAGGAGCAGGAAAACTAGCTTTCTATTCTATGCGGAATGCCCGTTCTCGGAAGAAAATGATCAGGGGCTTTAGAGATTAAAATCGGGATTTAGCCCGGCCGGGCGTCGCTCAGAGGTTGAGCGTCGACCTGCGATCCAGGCCATCGGGGTTCGATTCCCGGTCAGGGCACATGCCCGGGTTGTGGGCTCGATCAATGACTCATCATTGATGTTTCTGTCTCTCTCCCTCCCTCTTCCTTTCTCTCTCTGAAATCAATAAAGATATATTTAAAAAAATTAAAAATAAATAAATAAATAAATAAATAAATAAATAAATAAATAAATAAATCGGGACTTAAACGAAAAGTTGCACCTCTCCATCCATTCGCGGGCCCGTTGGGGAGTGCCCCTTGCGCACGGGACGCCGGTGAATTCAGTCCCTGCGCGCCGGGGCATTGGAGCTGGGCTTAGAATTTACAGGCTCTGTGTCTAGAGTTAGCTTAACCTCTGCCACCATGTGTAGAGTTCCAACTTCGCACACGTATCTCAACGAATCTTCACTGCAGCCCAGTGAGATCAATCCTATCATCGCCCTCTTTTTAGGGCTGGGAAAGGAGGCTAGAGAGAGACCCCCTTGCCCAGAGCCACTCATTAAGTTACCCGGACCCTGAAGACAGGCCCCTACCCAGACCCCCGCAGTCCTCCCGCGGCAGTGCTCCCTCCTTTTGGGGTCCCCCCCCCGGAGCTGTACACGGCGGCGGCGCTTGGCTAATGCTTGTGGGTCGGATTCCAGGACCCAGTCGGGCCGTAGGGTTGCCGCGTGGGATACAGCAGGGCGTGTCTCAGCCGTGCGCACTCACTCATTTACTCATTCACTTATCTGGCGGTGCCTGAGAGCCTACTGTGTGCCAGCGCTGACGTCAGGGCCAGGGGAACAGTCCAACTCACAGGAAGCTGGGTGGCGCGGGGCTGCCGTCGAGGGAAGGGGTCGCGCCCTTGCGGGACGTCGGTGAGCTCCCAGCCCGCAGCCCTGCGAGTGGAGCGCAGGCCCCGAACCTGCAGCCCCGTCTACCCTGCGGGTGTCAGGATGCGGGGAACTCGGGAGCTCTCAAGTCCTGCCAAAGCCCCAGGGGACGCGGTGGGGGAGGGCCGGAGGGACTCCGCTCTCTCCGCGGGAGCTGGTGGGAGGAGAAAAGAAAAAATACAAGACGGGGATTCCTGGAGGGAAGAGCTAGAGGCGAGGGAGCTGGAGACCCCGACCCTGAGACTAGGGTGGGTTGGGGAGTGGGCTGTAGGACGAGAGAGGCCGGGTGGCCGAGGGAACGCGAACTGAGGACGCAGCCACACTCTCCCTAGAGACGGGGGGCTGCGGGGACGTCGAGGGGGGCCCTCGGGTGGGTACTGCGTAGAACCCGATGCGGGCTCCACCTCCGGCCCTAGTGAGCCTCTGGTGGCCACCAAAGTGGGCCGGGGGCCCGCGTCATTTTGGAAGAGCAAGCTGTAGGTTTGTTCCCTTAAGAACGGTTCCCGGGCTGCTGGGGGGATTCTGGTCACCGTCTCTCGCGCCGGCCACACCCAGGGAAACCTGTTTGGCGTCGGTTCTCCGCAGGATTCCACGCCCGGGAGGAGTTGGTGGAGTCTGGCCCGCGGAGGCCGCGGCCGGGGGGCTG